AGGCAACTGATAACTCAGGTAGTGCCTGCATGATTTCTTAGTCTCTGTTCAACTTTGTGAGAAGGTCTAAGACCTCACTGGTGCTTCATTTCCAGACTCATTCATGAGTGTCTCCAAAAGAAGAGTAAAAAGTACCTTCTGAAGCTGCATTGCATCACTTCTCTCATACCACTTCTCTGATCTCACCCACTTTAAAACTGGATGGCAGTGCTGCTGATCCATGGTCTAAAGGAAAGCAAGGCCCACAGTTTTGATCATGGCTAAGGACAATTGCAAACTGTAGAAGGAAAAGTCTGTTGCTTTCTGTTACATGACTAGTCATTTCTTCCTGTGCTATCAGGTTTTTACTTGCCTAGTCATGTAGTGAGCATGGGTTTAGAGGGAAATGACTGGAAAGAGGCCTGGCCTCAAGAACTGAAGACAATCTGGATTCATACTCAGAGGTATCTGGTGGAAATTTAAGAACTGCACTTAAGGAGGAGTGGTTCTTTGTTAAACAAGTTTTCCCAGGGTTATGTGGACCTGTAATCATTGTTGAGCATGGTTGGTTATAGATCTTCAGGAAGTGCTCACCTTCTCTGGGTACTAACCTGAATTGTGTTAGGCACTGCAGGAGGGGCATGCTGGATTCTGCCTATTTTGTAGCTGTTATAAAAGGTGTAAGAGCCCTCAAAAATATGTGACTTTGCAGGATGGACTGTGAAGTAGTGGTGGAGAGCTGCTCCACCGCTTTCAGGGCCCATCAAGGTCCCTTGTCAGCACAGAAACATCTTGAACATCTGGAGTGAAGTCAGCCTCTTGGTCCTTGTTGCTAATTTATGGGCTTATAAGACAGGCAAGTTTTTGTGGTATTTTTTTGTTTGTTTGTTTGTTTTGTTTCTTGTTTTGTTTGTCTGCCTATACAGCAGAGGCGTGGCACTAGGTACTATACAGAAAAGTAGTAAGTTGGAAACTTCAGTTTCTTAACACTTAAAAGAACAGTGACCTCAAGGAAGTCACAGAGTCTGATCTTCCATGCTGGTGCTCGCTGTCATGGCAATGACTACCTGCAAGGCTGCACAGATTGCACCGGGCTCACACTGCTGTCCCAGCACCCACAGGGCTGCAGGGGCTTTCAGAGTGCTCACCTCCCTGTGCACACCAAGCTTCCATTGCTCTCAGCCTGCTCTTTAGTTTCAGTCCCACTTTTTAACACCAATAAAGAGACGCTAAACTCTACCAAATATTTGCCCCTCCTATGCAGCTTTGCAGGAGTATGCAATAGCATAGGTTGTTCTTCTCCAAGTCCAGGAGCTTTTACCAGTCAGCCAGAACCAGGTTATTTTAGCGTGCATGGGTTGGTATGGAAGTGCAAAGCCTGTGCATATGCCAGCAGTGTCACTGCCACACCTGTCCCAAACATCTGGGGTTTCACCTGGGGCTCTGTACCGAAGGGCTGTGTGTTTTTCACGGTGTGCTGACAACTGTGTTCTGTATTTCAAGTTGTGCTGCCTTCAGTATGATTTGCCTTTCTTGTCCAGCAGTTGTTCATGTCTGCTCCTTGCTTTCTTTTTCCCAGCATCTTTAAAATCTGCACATTTGCTGATGATTTTGTGTCATTAATATCAATCTAGACAAGTCTCTGTGACCTTTAACTCCCCTGTCCAAAGGGAAGAATTGACCCTTGCAGTCAGTCACAGCACAGCACTGACTCATACATACTTTTCATAAAAATAATGAGGAAATTCCCCATAGTTTTTACAGATACTTTTTCAGGAGTAGAAGTGGAAGTCTTCCATAGCAACGCAGTTTGGGAAAACTATGAAGCATGTAACAGATAATTAATCTTTTTTCTGACATATGATACACTTTATAATATTAATTTTTTTTCTCTTCTCGTATCTCGCTTGCTCAAACTCAGCAGATCTTTTTGAGTTTCATTTGAGCTCATGTGCTTTCCAGTCTTATTCCCACCCTTGTCTGTTCTCCAGCTCCATTGTAAACCTCCTGGGAGGGGGCTGGGATTTGTCCTACCTCCCTGACTCCACAATGATGAACACAATAGGACTGTACTTCCCCTTTTTGCTCTGATTTTAATATATTTTCCTGCATAAGATAAAACATGCTGTGTTTAGATATGCAGCACAAAAAAGAGAAAAAATATCTCTAAGTTTGAAGTTTTGAAAAGAAACAAAACAACAAACTGAAGTTTGGAATGAGTCAGAATCCTCCAGTAAAGACTAATGGTAAAACAAAAAAACTAGGCACTGAAAAGTAATTTCAGGAAAGCTGTTTACTACTGACATGTAAGTATCATAAGGAAATATAATTTCTTTGCTTTCCTATATTTTATTATTTGTTACTTAAAAAAAAATAAATCCATTTATAATTAAGGCCAGGGCAATTCCTCAAGGTCTCAGTATCTGAATATCTTTCCAGTGAATAGTTAGCAAACTGCGTTTTTTTGATCATACTTGCTGTAGTGGAGCCAAGGCAGGCGTTCTTAAAATATGGAGATGACTGAATGCTTCTAAATTGTTATTTTTCTTTAAGGCAAAAATTGCATATTTAAAATCTTTGAGATAAATGTAATGAAACATCCAGACTGCAAGATTTTGTCAAAAGTGAATTTGACTCATTAGTTTGGTTGCTTCTCTGCCATTAGGATCTCAAACCCCCTTTTCTCCCTTCTAGAAAAATCTGAAATCTAGTCTGCTTGATAGTGTGATTTAATGCCAAATATTTTAAATTTGAAGACTTAAAGTTACTTTCAGTCTTAGAGCCAGGTGGAAACAGGAGCAATCTCCAGTCAAATCCTATGTCTGGGTTGCTGAGGTGTATTGTTTTTGTTAATACAGATGCTTTGTGGTATGCATATTCTAATGACTGAAGTGATTTTTGGCAAAAGGAAGACTTATGCAGTGGTGGCAGTTTTTTGTCACGCAGCTATGCTTGTCTTTCCAGTAAACTCCTTAGAGTTAGAGAGCATCCCTGGTTTAATATAGAAGGAATCTGACATGGCTCTGAGGAAGCTCAAGTGTTTGTGGAAAGAGCTGTTAATCTTTGATCAACTGGGGTCTCCTTGTTACTGACTTTGATTACACAAGTGTACAACTTTAATTACAGCTTTTAATAAGATTTCATTTCTTCCTAGTCACATTCTTTGTATAGTAGAGCAGCTTATCTTTTCCTTTTTCCCCTGTTCCCCTTCCCTTCCCCCCTGGCTTTTTATGGAAAAGGGCATTTGAGGTCATTGCAGGGGATTCGGTGTCCAGAGGGATCCCGCTGTACGCGCTCTGCCCATGACTATACCCTCCACTTGCTGGCACAGTCCAGAGAGCTCTCTCCTTCAGCTGCCCTCCAAATATCCCTGCACTGGCAGCTGCCCAGGAGCTGGTGGTCAGCAGGGGAGGACAGGTCTGAGAGGCACCATGTTCACACAGACGTTCACTGCTGCACAAAACCTCTGAAAAACCCTTAGGAAATCTCTGTAGCCAAAGGATATTCTGATCTCCCCATCACTGGATAACCTGAGACTTGAGTAAATTAAGTTCTGATCGTCAGAACTGAGAAGGGGAAAATTGAGGTGCCCCCCTTGTTATTTTCTGTATTTGTGTTCTTCCCTAAGCCTCTGCTTTTGGCCCCTGTCAGCAATAGGGTACTGGTCCAGTATAGCCAAGAGGAAAAACGTTTGACTCCCATGCAAAGCGTAAGGTACAACTGAGGAGTCACTTACAAGATGTGAGTCACAAAAAAGGTTCAGATGTTAAAATAGCAGTTTGCACTGATTTGACATTCAGAGGTGTGCGAAATTTTAAAATGCCAGTTGTGACTATAGAAGAGGATAGTGGGGAAGACAACTAATAGAACAGCAAAGGGAGCTCCTTTTATCTCTGTGCGTGCATCCCTTTGGCTCGCTGTATGTGCTATACTCTTTTTGCACACTAATGAATATCAGAGTCAGAGCAAGTTATGCGATCTATCACTCTGCTCCTGTTTTCTAATGAACTTACCCCTAACAGGTAGCTTTCCTAGCTATTCGTGTCACGAGTGAATTTCACCTTGACAATAGATCAAGAATGAGGTTCAGCAGTGTGGCCCACCTACTTTGCAATGCTCCAGCATGACAGCTGCTTTGTGTCCTCAGGGTAGCTTTACTTTGATGCTTTTCCCTGTTTAGAAAACTTTGGGGGGAGGATTTTGGTAATCTCCAGCAGGCAGAGTTTTTAAACCTATCTCAAGGGAAGATGAAGATTCTACAGAATTTTTGAACAAACAGTTATTTATGAAGTAAGTGACATTGTCTTTAGAACTGTTATTCCCACTGGGCTCCAGAGAAAAGCAGCATTTGCCACGCTGGATCTGACTGGTCGCTGCTGTAGCCTGCTGCTCCTGGCACCTCAGGCTTCACTGTGGAAAACTCTGGAAGGCTTACGACAAAACATCTAGTCTGACCATTGTGGATATGGCTCTAGTTGTTAAGGGCTGTGTTTTAATGCCTCAGAAGCACACAGTAAGAGAACTATAGTCTTTGCTCTGACAGGCTCTTTGACACCAGAAATGCTGGAGCAAAGTTCTTCTAAACTTGGCTGGCTTTCTGGTTGCCTAAAACATACTGCAGTAGTTGCTGTAACATGGGATTGAAATGACTGGTTTGCTGAATTGGCTGGACAAACTACAGGGGAAGAGAAACAATGAAATGAGTTCACTGTGGTGTATATAGGCCTGACCCAGGGTCATGGGCCAGTGTGATTGCATCATTTGCTCATTCAGTAGCCACGCTGCTACTGAAAAGATGTGTGTCTGGTTTTTGACATCCTGATCTTTTGATGAATTTGACATCACTTTCTGCATGATGTGCTTCATCTGTGTCTCGTGTCACCAACATTCACCTCTGTCCAGGCAAAGTTTCTCTGTTTGTTTTCTCTATTTTCAAACCAACCTCACGTCCCCTTTTCCTACTCTTGCTGGAAGGGGCCGTGCAATCATTCTCACTGCCCTGTCTCTTTTGGCAGACTCGGGGACCAGTTCTACAAAGAAGCCATTGAGCACTGTCGCAGCTACAACTCTCGGCTCTGTGCCGAGCGAAGCGTCCGCCTTCCCTTCCTGGATTCTCAAACTGGGGTAGCTCAGAACAACTGCTACATCTGGATGGAGAAGAGGCACAGGGGACCAGGTTGGTAGTGCTGTGTCTGTGTATGCATGTGCATGTACGGAGGGCTGGCCACTGAGCCCTCATGGGGTTTAATTAATAGCAGCTCAAACCTGCTACAGGCCACACAGAAGAGAAACTGCTAAACCTCTGTGCCTGCAGGGGATTTCCTTTGGTAACTGCAGAGAGCTCATGCTAATTACTCCCCCTCTCTAAGCTAAGAAGTGCCTGACATGGTAGTTTCTAAGGCTGCATCATTGTAGCTATTTTCATGCTATCAATCCCAGTCCATAGTAGAAGACTCCATGCTCTGCTCTAAACAGGATTGGAATTACCTCCAAGGTGGAGGTGGGAGTTTCTCAGATGAATGCTGAAAATAAGGAATTATACTAGGATGGATATAAAACTGAATTAAAATATAGGAGACTCCAGTTAATGGAATGAATGTTGTTCTAATGGTCAGAAATATATCTATAAATCCCAGTTCTGCTTTAGATAGGTTAACTTGGATATCAGTTCTGGAGCTGCGGTTCCCTTGGGTACAGAGAGAAGTTGGTATACTTCCTTAAGGAGCTTTGGCTAATGCCTATCCCACAGCTCAGTGAAGCTCAAGGGAAAAGAGCACTGTTATTTTTGTAGACTTTGGTCAGTTGTTCCTTTGTTAGAAAATCCATCTGAAATCCCTTTATTGAAAGGCAAAGGACATTCACCAGTTCAAAGACTTGAGGTGTTGCTCAGACAGAAGTCCTTCTGAACCACAAAGGGAATTTGGCTAGGTTGTAGCTCAGTATCTGACCAATAATTAGTCCAGGGAACAGATTTTTGACAGCACCAAAATGTATTTCTACCTTCCCCCCCACCTTTAGTGCAGCCCAGAGAATCCAGGCAGGAAGGGACCTGGGGCACATGGATACTGAAAGTGTGACACGTGCAAATGTGCATAAATATGTGCCAGTTTTCTAAACAATACTGACACCCTCCCACCTTCACCCTCCACCCCCTCAAATTCTAGATCTGAAATTATGGGAAGGCAAAACCTGCTCCAATCTCCTCTACTGTCTGGTTTACAGGAGATTAAGTGGGAGGAACATATAGGATATTCCTTTACCCTCCTGGAGCTAAGAAAGCAATTGCTGCTTCTGAAAAGTGCCTAGCTGTGTCTTAGCTGAAACTTTCCTTCTCCCTTTTCTAAGATATACTAAAGGAAGGATCCTTTTGCTCCTCCTATTATTGAAATGTCAAAAGTAGATTTAGTGTTGTCTTGCAGGACTATTAGAAAACTGTTTATATAATAAAATGCAGCTACTTCTGGTGCAGGAGACAACAGGTGTTTTTATAGTGTTAAAAATACCCAAAGAATAGCTACCAAAACTGCTGGGGTAATTCAGGACTGCTGAATACGGTTCACAAGATGGGAGCTGTCTACACTTCTGGACTAACCCTTTTTTTCTAGGGAGGCTTCCTAACCACAGTCAAGTTTTTTGCTTCAGCTGAAAATTCTCTAATCCCAAGAGATTATGCTTTGGATAAACTAGGTTTCTTCCTGTTCCTGTTCCCGTTCCCGTTCCTGTTCCTGTTCCTGTTCCTGTTCCTGTTCCTTCTCTCGCTCTTGTTATGACTAAGGTGCTACTATTTTTATCCTTCTGAATACAGTCAGAATACATACATACAGACACACATACATATATACATATATATACACATACATATATACATATACATACATACATATATATGTGTATATACACACACACACACACACACATATATATATATATATATATATATATACACAGGTATACATCTACTGTATGAATCTCATTGACATCTGTACACATGCAGAAGGAATCATCACAAGTGTGTTACAGCATCACACCAGGGACCAAGATGTCTTAATTCTTTGCCTTTCTCAGCCACAATCTTCGTGGACTACCTCAAGAAAATTAATTTTTCAAATCTTTCCTTCCTCACTTCTGATAGTGAACTATTTGGCAGCTTGCCCTGCAGAAGGGGATAGGTGACATTTCTCCTGCAGGTCTGCACTGGAGACGAATGGCGGAACATTCTTCACAGAGAGTATCAGGTGAAAGAAGCCTCCTGCATCTGCATTGGCCACCAAATCTGATGACATTGTTATTTTGAATTAAAATAATCAGTGTGAAATGAACCAGCCCTCCTCCCCCATATTTCCTTTCCTCTTTCTTGATTTTTATTAGCCCATTTAGTGCTCCCTGGAGTGTCTTTGTGTAATCTGTTTCTTGTAGTATCAATTTCTTGTAGTATTAGGGTGAGTCAAGGCATCCCTCTACAGTTTTAGCATGTCCAGTTTTGGTCTGTACACAATGTACCTGTGCCCATACTAAAGGGCTCTGAAAATTCTCTGCCAGCCATCCTGGTATCTGTCTTGTGTGCTGTGCTCCCTACCATTTACTATCCTTAACCTGAAAAACTAGATAAAGATAAATGGCAAAGCTCCAAGACCTATTTTCACTTATACAGACTTGAAAAACGGAGAAGAGTCAGGAACTCAGCATATTAACCTGAGTTCTTGCTGTCCTCTTTGTTAAAGGAGTCAGAAATCTGCATCTCCTGATAAACAGTTCAGGGTTAATTTCACACAATACTGCACATAACTCCCTCCTTTTCCCCTCCTCCTCTGGCCTTTCACACGAGCTTTGAGTTATGACTCTCCTACACTAATGAGATAAACAACATAACTCACTGCAGGTTCTGCTATTTCCTCTGTAAGCAAATGGTTGGAACCTTCTCTGGTTGCCCTATAAGGTACCAGAGAGAGAGACAACCCACTGAGGGCTGAAGACAGTAATATGCATTATTTCCATATTCACTGCAAAATTGCCTGTGAAGGAGCAGCATTCAGAGCATTCAGAACTGACCCTTTCCCTGTTGCCTCTCCTTTGTGTAAGATCTACACTTCATGTGAGCCAGCACAGAGACAGAAGAGGAACAGGGTAGAGAAATGAAGGCAGCATTGGTGGGTTGAATGAAGTGAAAATCTGATATGTGTTCTAAGTTCATTGGATGGCAGTATATTAATGTACAGGTGTATTGTGAGCAGCAACACAGAGCTTACCTGAAGGCTTGCAGAGGTGGATGTTGGATCATCCGTTTCTTATTGATCTACCTGCCACCCTCTAAGGAAAAGGGTTTCCCAACTCTCTTCTTTCAAGTTTCTAATTGGGCTTTCAGCATGTGTAGTTGGCTTTTGCTGTCCTGCCTGAATCCAGAACTGCTCTTTCATATGAGTGCTTGCATTAGCAGATATTCCCCCAAAACTAGTAGATCTTTGCTCCTCTCTGTCTGCGACAAAAGGTGTGGTACTTATCCCTTCAAAAGGCTTTTCTGTGGAGGCCCGTGCAATGGAGGGCTGATTCTCTATCCTATTGCTTTGATCTGCCAATTGCCATTTCTGTGTTGTCTTAAGTCCCTGCACAGGACCTGCTGAGAAAGGGTGGGGCTTCTTGCCTCCACCTCTTTAATTACTCACATCAGAGCCAGGCACAATCCACCTCATCATTATAGTAGTTGTTTGCAGTGGTTAATGTTTGCAAAGTGGCATGAAGAAGGATGTCCAAATACTGCATAAGGGGTGGTTATTCGTATTTTTATTTCCAAACAGGTCTTAGACAACCTGTTCTGAAATGTGTCCTTCTTGGGATGTGCACAATGCCCAGCTTTCTGGGCATAAGTGTAAGAAGGGCATGAAAAGCCCAATAGCATTCTGTGCCCTGAAACAGCCAGAATCTCTGCAGATAATCCATCACTTGGCTGTACTCAGGCAGTTTGCCACAGATGCTCCAAGGCCTTGGAAATAGGTGGAAGGTGCTGGGGTATGAGCTGGCATTCCCAACAGTTGAAATATTTAAAACCAGTAACTTAGGTCTCACCTGCAGAATTTGATTAGCACATTCCCTCGAGGTGAATTATGTTATTGTGTCTTCCTCCTCACCCTAAAGTTAGAGGATATTTTTTTCATTATTCTCAATTGGTCTGGTGAGTTGCTTTTGTTCCCAAGCTGATACTCACTCCTGGCTGCTTCAGAAGAGAGGAGAGAGCTCTTGGGCCATCCTCCTGCCCTTGAGCTGTTCTATTTTACTGGCACCCCCTTCATGCTGTCCAGCTGTTCACTGTTGGTACAGTTTCAGATATAGCAACACCACTCCTGTTCTCTCTCTTATGTGGTCTTTCCTGGTTTTTGAGGACAATGAGTCTGGAATTGAAGTCATGCTTTGTAGCCCCTTCAAGACAACAGCAACAGCAGAAGGGCAAAGATGCCAAACCAGAACTGGTGGACAAAGAGGGCAGGAAAAGCAGAGGAGAGAATTAAATTCCTCCAACTTTTCTTTCTGGGTATTTCTATGTGTCATGACTATCTGGGGCAGTTGAGGATACTTTGAAGCACTTGACGGTGTGCTTCTGTGCCCCTAGAAATGATGCATTCACAAAGCCCTGCTGTGTCCCTAATGCAAGAGAGAAAAGTCTAGCTCGGACATTGGCTGAAGGGTGTCTGCCAGGAGAGCCAGGGCTGCTCAAAACCCAGTGATGCCAAATGTGATTTAAGGGAACATGCAACGATATAAACATCATTGTGTACCTCCTCTCTCATTCAGAGTAAAGGCATGAGGAGGTAAGAGTCAAAATGAAGAATTAACATTCAAACAAAAGTCTAGAATGTAAGCAAAACTACAGTCAGACCTCTTGGATCCTGGTTTGCTCCTGTTTGGAAGACAAAAATTTCCTGAGCTGCTCTGTGCATCAGGGCCTCAAGATTTGCATGTCAGAACTTCATCTCTTCTCTCTCAAGGGGCTTTCTCTGCCCGTGGAGGAGGCATCGCCCCTGTGACCCAGGAGAGTCTGAAATTCTATTTACCCTGAAGAAATCACAAATTATTTATGTGCAGCTCTGGTTTCAGTGAGCTGAGTGAAGTGTCTAAGTGAGACCTAGATTCTCTGTAGGCCTGATCCCAAGAGGTGCCGAAGAGCCTCAGGAGCACTGGATGCCTTGAGAGCATAGCTCTGTCTCATGATTTGCAGGATTGAACCTTCCAAGAAGGAGATGCTGGAAGGGCAAAAACAAAGATGCTAGAGACAGTGCTTGTGGTTTACATACTGAAACGTGATTAATTTTTTGCCTTTAATCTTCAGGCCTGGCCCCAGGTCAGCTGTACACATACCCAGCACGTTGCTGGCGCAAAAAGAGGCGTTTGCATCCCCCTGAGGATTCCAGGCTGAAGCTGCTGGAAATTAAACCTGGTAAGTATTTGTTTGCTGCCTCTCCCGAGCTGCAGAACAGCTGGCATACATGCAAACCTGGCATTTAGACCTTGGACTTTATCTTTGCTGCTTTCCAACCATTTCTCATTGCATCTGTTGCATCTTACTTGATTTGCTGTAACCATAACCACCAAATCCTCTGTGTACAACTCATCCCTTATAAAAAATGTGAACAACTTGTATTGAATGCAAGGGGAGCTGAATTTACCTTCAGTAGAGTTGAATCTTGGCTTCTATTAGAAAATTCACAAGGATGTAAAGAATGAATGTGTTACTAACTTTTTCCTCGGTGCATTACTAATACAAAGTCTCACTGGCATCTGCTGCCTGATCTTTGTGAAAGAGACCACTGTGTGTGAAACAGTAAGTATAAGATAAGATTTTTCTTGGTGGGGCTGTTGATGAGGGGTGTGACCAGATTATAAACAACAAATAATATAAAATAGTGAGCACATGCCACATTTGTGTATTTCTGTCTGACCGTATGTGTACCTTTGTCCGTTATCCTTTCATTCTTCTTGTCCTTGCTACTCTTGCACAATTAAAATATGCAAAGTGGTGAGTCTGGATGCTGAATGAGTGACTGTAAAGCAGATGTGGAGGAGCTGCAGCTGTGTCAGGTAGAGCATAGTGTAGTGCATTCTTCCCTGCAGTTAGTAATAAAGGCTTGCTGTCTCTGGGGCCAGCTATTATGAGAAAGAGGGAGCACATATACTCACAGCTGTATGTGGTTTTTAAGAGGTGAGACACTGTCAGTATAAAAAGTGCAGGAGAAAACCCCCAAATGTAAATTAAGAATATTTAAAAAACCTGTTTGACAGAAGAAGGTGCCTGGGAACTGAGCTGTGCTCAGCAATACTGATGACTTTGCTTCTACGCAGTAGTTGGTGGAGAGAGAGAAAAGGGCAACAGACACATGTTCTAAACCCATTAAAATCAGAGACAAAATTCCTGTTGATTCTGGTAGAAACAGTTTTTGAAAACTCCCTACCTTCAGTAAAGGAGACATCAGTGGACAGTTGAAAAAGAGGAAGAAATGTCTATAACCGCTCAGTTGGGGTTCAAACCAAGGGCAAAATCTCAGCCAGAAAATAAAACTAGACCTCACAGCAGAGCTGCTTGGAAAGAGCTGATGAAATCAGTCACATACGTTGATGAAAATGAGACTGGACTCTAGGAAGAGGATGATGTTGGCTCATAGAAGTGCCTACCTTAGACTTTGTGATGATGTCTTGGTACTGCTGTGCCATGGTAATTTTGTAAGATAAAGCAGTAGGGTAGAGTTTGACTCTTTTTTGTTTGCATTATTCTTCTTTGCTGTACTCACTGAATGCCAAATTAGTGCATCCTACATGCCACAGGGCATGAAAGGCAATTACCACAAAGTTATCAGATAAAGAGACCTCAGCATGTCTGTCTCTGTGTTGTTTTCCCTGCTATAAACATCTCCTCTGCATCTCAGGAGTGCTACTTTTGTTGCATTGCCGGTGGCAACCAAATAAGGCGAGTTATATTGCTCTGCCATTTAAATCTATTTTCCAACCAATTTCTATCTAGTGATTAACTTTCCTTATCAGTTATACCACAAAACAATTTCATTCCATCTGTGCATATCCAGAATAGACTCACTAGCCAGAAGTGGGATTTTTCCCTTTTCTGATCTGAGAGTGTAAAATCTATGGAAAACACTGGACCTCCGTTTAAAGGTAGCTTTTGAGATTTGGGAGAAAGAGAGTATAATTTGTATTCAACATGGACAGCAGAAATACTGTAGATTTTGGAGGGGAATACTGTCGTAAAACCTAATGCTGAACCTAGGAATCTACGTAATGCTGACTTCTTTAGTCCTCAGTTAAACATCAGATGATTGTGTGGGGCAAAGAGATGGAAATTTAAGATTACTAAAAAGCACAGCTGTAGGACATATAAGATAAATTTGAAAGAAATATAATCTACATGTTCCATAGTTTTACTTCACCTAGGACTTGAGCATCCTGTTCATTCCTTAGAGCTGTTCTCGGCAGTTAGAGAATGCTTATGCTTGGTTAAGGTACAAATAGCTGATTTTTATAGAGGAGGCTGTGGAATTGTTGATATATTTTTATAGATATTTATAATTGTTACATGGCATGTGCAAGTAATACACTTCTACATCAAATCAGGGCTAAACCTTAGTTGTATTATGTTAACTGCATAGAAGTACTTCTTGTAAGACAACCACTGTAACAAACACAGAAGAGAATCTTTGCTCCAAAAGTTGCCATTCCACCAGTTAATGGGAGTGGCACCAGGGGTGTGAATACCTGCTTGAACTGCACCTGGGCTTTCAGAGAGCCTTATTATAGCAACAAGTTGTGTTCAGAAGGTCCTGTATTCAGAAGACACCTACATAATTCAGGAGATACACAGACCTAGGATTTTTGTTTTGGCAAGTCATAGGCAGGCATCAGCTGGTCAGTAAGTAGCATCAATCTATTGTCTTGCCAGCAGTTTGTGGGTACAACAAATCATTTAGTAATAGTATAGTATACTATTTTAGTTTTATAAACTAACATAGTTTTATATAGTTTTAGGTTTACAGTTATAACCTGCTTTTGAAGGTTTGTGTAGTGCATGACACGACTCAGTGAATAAGAGTTTCACATTTGGTAATACCAAACTCTGATGAAGAAAATCATGCTCCAGCGGTCTGCTGTTTTTTTTGTAAAATGCAAGGTGCACTACAATGTTTTTCCTGGGGTGAGTTGATGCCTGCTTCTTAATAGAAGATGCCCCCTCCAGACTGTCCACATCTCTTTTGTATAGCAGGGACCAAAACTGAGCACAGTATTCCAGGTGTAGCCTGAGAAGCACTGAATATGATAATTACTTATCTCTGCTGGTGATGCCCTTGCTGATGCAACCCAGCATCCTGTTGGCTCTATTTTTTTGGTCACAACAGCACACTGTTCATTCATATTGAGCTCATGGTCCACCAGGACACTGAGGTTCCTTATCACAGAGCTGCTCCCCAGCCAGGCAGATCACAGCCTGTCCTGCACTCCTGGATAATGTTTTCCCAGATATATTTCTGTCGCTGTAGGACACGAAATGATTCACATGAACACAGCTCAGTGTATGATAGGAAAAAGAGAGTGATTTATTCCATAATTCCAATATTTATAGATTCTCGACAATGACCAGGGATTGGATAGTCAGGTTACCACCTTCCCAATCACACTGGTCATGAGAAATGTCCATCAAAAGACATTTCTTTAATGGAATGTATAAACATCTATGTTTATAGTTACTTTCCTGGGAAAGTGGCTAGAAACTATGAAAACAAGATCAGAAGGTTTAGTTCTCAGGGCGACACATTTCCTAGGTGCAGAATTTTAAACTTACTAGGTATTGATAGTCATATAATATTTGTGAAAATAAACTTCTGTTCAACCAAGTATGGGAAACCTGGTTCTCTGCAGAATCGAGCAGTGGTGTTTGCATGGCACTTTGGCACAGAGCAGTGGGAGGGCTGCAAGCAGCTCATGCTTCCACATTAATTCAGCTGCCTGTTCTCCTGCCCAGCAAAAGAGGAGCAGAGCTGAGCTCCTGTTCCTGACAAGTCTGGCAATGGGTGAGAGAGAGGGTTGAGCTAGGTAGCCTGACTTCCAGTGGAGTCAGAGAAAAAGGAGAATTTATAACTCTACAACCACTGTGAATGCAAGCAGTAGGGTTCAGGCCCTTGCCAAAATCAGAGCAGTTGGAAAGAGAGGGGTTAGAAATGAGAGGGACATCCTGGCTTAGACCCAAGGCCCCTTGAAATTATAATTGATCCTTGTCCTATATACTTAGTGGTTTCGTGGTGCTGGGTAGTGTGATTCAGTGTTGGGTCAGCTATCAAAATTGTGGAAGTGCTATTGCCTACAGTAAACCCTGCTGACAGGCAGGTATTACCCAAGCTTTGCACCTATGCAGATGGGAACAGATATGGTGAGTGTGGCCAAAAACTCTGGTGGAGTTTAAATTGGTAGTGTCCTACTTCAGTCTCACAAGATGGCTAAATATAGGTACATACCTACATACCTACAGAGCTTTTATTTCGCACAGTGTGTAAGTCTAAAGAATATGACTGTAATGTTTTTGTGCCAATTTGCTGATGTCCTTTGGTTTTGGACTGAAAGCCCACAGTGAGGTTTCAGAGTGGTCAGCCTTACCACCCACTTGGAGGGTGTGAAGTAGAGTTTGTTTATGCTACTGCTGTGCTGAGAATGAGCTAGGGTCTTGTGCTAGTGTCTGTCCTCTTACTTATATCTGGACAGTCTAGTGTTTAGCTGAGCTACAGAAATGGAGTTTTTTTATCAGTTGTTGGATAAGGAAAAGCAAACAAAATATTTGTCATTTGCTATTATGAACCATGGTGGTTGTTTGAAGCAAGTACTGAAAACAGATTTTTAGTTCCAGTTCAGATCAGTACAATGCCTGATCTGTTTTTAGTCTAGCATATAGGGTATACCTAGGTGAGTGTGCTTGTGGATGAATGAACTAAATCCTTACAGATAAGCTGTTATCTCTTTAAAGCATCCCTATTTACCTTTTGGAGACTGTGACTGATTATACAAGGTACTGTATGTTTCCTGGGAAGTGAGAAGTGCTCCCAACTCTTGGGGGAGATGCTGAGCACGTGGAGATCTGTGGTCTTTAAGATGGGGTACTTCACCAAGATAAAGTTAAGATGACTTTAAAAAGCAAAGAACAGAATTTGCAGTAGTATCTCTTAGCATAGCATCTCGAGACTCAAGCAGCATGTTAGATCATCATCCCAGGGGCTGTTGTGAAGTCATCTGAGCCATATACTTACAGTCCAGATATACAAAATATTAGTGAAGGAAGTACTTTGATTCCAAAATGGAGAAATGAGCGACAAAGGGAATAGACTACTTCCATGATGTTTTAACCAGAAGTTTGTGGTACAGCTGGAAGTCAAACCCCAAACTAAAAAG